AACATGGCCATGTAGATTACCATCGCAATCATAATTTGCTGACGATGAGTTTACTGCGGAACGGACGTTGCTGCTGAGTTTATATACTGACATCTTCTTCTTTCTTATCTCCACTCAATCATATTAGGGTATCACGCTTGTAAAGCTTGAGATCATGACTGGGTGAAGTAGAATGCGTCTGCCTTTGTTATTAAGACTGGGAGCACTACTCAGTGGCAGGCCGACTTAGCTCCAAAATGAAATGGCCGCCTCTGACATGAGGAACAGACGCCATGTACAGCCGCTCCTAACATGGAGTACAAACGCTGCTCATCCTGTATCCCTGGATTAGGAGCCCTTATAGGGTACTATCAGCCGAGCCAGCTGAGCCCTGGTTTTCAAGCGAGCTTGTTACTGCTCCCCCTTTTTCGTCCGGGCTTGGGACCGGCAAAGGCGGAGTTACATATTGAAATAAACTCTTGTTTCATACTAGATAAATCTCATATCATTTGATTTAAATCTCCTGGATATAAATTAAATAATGCAACACAGGTTTCTGGAGATGTGTTTCTTTTATCTTTATTAACGCAACCTCGAGCTTTCGGGGGTTTCTGCCCTTCTACAGGAGTACATAGAAACAAATAAACGCGTTTATTAGTTTTTGTGTAATCCTTTAGAATAGCATAAATACCCGAAAGCTCGACGTTGGGTTAATAAAATGATAATAAACTCATCTCCAGAAACCCGTTGCATTATTTAATATTCATTGTTCCATGGACTGTAAATTTTCTTGAACTTTCTTGATTTTCTGTGGCCAAGGATATCTCTGGCAACGGCTCTCATTGAGGTTACAGGATTCTCATCTGCATCGTCTCTTGTACCTGGTGCACTAACAAGACTGCTCTTATGGTGTCGAAGTGCTTTTTGCGTTTTACCACAGGTAAGGTCTCTTCGTCAGACGTCTTCAACCCATTCCGGACTCTGTCTGCCCTCTCATCCGGCAGGAGTTCTCCATCATCGGGCGGCCGCCGGACCTGCAGTCTTCGATATTCTCAGCGGGTCTAGAAGACCACGTCATCAACCTGTAGGCTAAGTTTGAAATATACGTCTACTTTGTCAATAGAGAAATTCGCTGAAGGCAATCTTCCATCGAACTATGAGAAAGTGTGGTGGAGTCGTCTTGTACAGATAACATTTATTTAAAATATAACATAAAAATGCATTATATATAAATCCCATATTCATATAAAATAATTATGTTAATTTTTGCACCTTGGTAATTGAATGAATTGTAATACAATTATTTTTTTGCATATTGTCGTCTTTTGCACTTTGTCGTCAAATGATCAGACGACTAATAGGAATCTCCATATTTCCATATTGGTGGGATTTGCCTATATCGCCATAGGTAACCTACAAAATGCATAAAGATTAGGCAGTTTTGAACTTAAAAACACACGTCTTCAAATACCTTATACACACCCTGTATAGTTGCACTACAAATATATATATATATCGACATTGGACAACAACACGGCACAGCAACTAAATTCAATTACCTTACGATTTCTTCTATCTGCTTATGTTGTTACTTATTTGTTTAATGTATATGTTTATTCAATGCTCTTTTTCTTAGATCAAAGAACTTGCGCATAAAATTAAATCCAAAAGACAAAAAACCTCTCGCAATTAGTATCTTTTATTACAAATAACGGACGCTAGCTTTCGAACTATTAGTTCTTCAACGGGCGTTCTTACAAAACGAAATCAGATTCTTATTAATATATAGAGGTAATCGAAAAAATATATACAAATATTCGCTCAAAGATATGCTAAAAGGTAAATTAGAGAATTAAAAGATAATCAGATATGCAATTTTTTTTTTAAACTAAATTAAGTTTAAAACTAAGGGGGGGGGGGGGTGGGGGGGGGAAGGGGACATAGCAGAATTCGTTCTTCAAACTCTTTTAAAAAGGCAGCGGAACTGTTCCGGGACATCTATTCTTCTGGAATCCTTGGTTTCTGGTTGTAAAGACAGCATAAACAGAAGAATAGATGTCCCGGAACAGTTCCGCTTCCTTTTTAAAAGAGTTTGAAGAACGAATTCTGCTATGTCCCCTTCCCCCCCCCCCCCCCCCCCCCCCTTAGTTTTAAACTTAATTTAGTTTAAAAAAAAAAAATTTGCATATCTGATTATCTTTTAATTCTCTAATTTACCTTTTAGCATATCTTTGAGCGAATATTTGTATATATTTTTTCGATTACCTCTATATATTAATAAGAATCTGATTTCGTTTTGTAAGAACGCCCGTTGAAGAACTAATAGTTCGAAAGCTAGCGTCCGTTATTTGTAATAAAAGATACTAATTGCGAGAGGTTTTTTGTCTTTTGGATTTAGCTCTTTTTCTTAATTGATTATTTTCTTTTTGATAATTCTGTTACCTACTCTACTACAATATGAATTATTGTAAAGAGTTTCACGCGCAATTATCCAGATCGGATATAGCGTTTCTTGTTTGCAACTGGTAATAAATAAAATAAACTAAATTCTTTCATTAAACTTTTCTTCACATATAAAACGCAAGCTTTAGAGCACCAGGCACTTCATCACATTTTATTCCTCAAGTCTGATGAAGGGCTAGTGCTCGAAATCTAGATGAGGAAAAGTTTAATAAAAGAATCTAGATGCTGTACGTGGTTGTGTCCGTTGTCGATAGAGATTCCAAATGACAATTTTCTAATTCATGACACAAGTTGCAATACAAGTTTTATCTTTGGGGGATTGAAATGGCCAGCAAACATATTCTTATATTTAATTAGAAATTACTATTAGAGAGATGACAAAAACCTAGTTTATCGACACTTATATAAAATGTTGCCTTGCCATCTTGAATACCTCGGAACCAAAATTGGTCTTGATTATTCGTAAAGATAGGCAGCCTCGATTTTTACGATATATAAAATGTAGATGGAAAATTTGCCGGGAGGAAATTAATCCATGGTCGCCTCTCCCGTCAAAATAAACGTCAGAATCTGACGCCATCTATTGACCGTCGCCGCAACTAGCGGCATCGGGTCGGTGACAAAGCCACAACACCAACTTTGGCAAACTGATAAGCGTCCACCTAGAGACCATGGTTTCGGGCTAATGGCCCTCGTCAGTCTAGGGCGGACTTTATTCCATGAGATCCACACGGGATCTAATGGAATCCTCACAATCTACCAAAGAGGTGTTTTGCTGGCAATGTGGCTGAGCCAAATCTATTGGCAAAACATAGATGGAAAATTTGCCGGGAGGAAATTAATCCATGGAAGCAATGGTCGCCTCTCCCGTCAAAATTAGCCCGAAACCATGGTCTCTAGGTGGACGCTTATCAGTTTGCCAAAGCTGGTGTTGTGGCTTTGTCGCCGACCCGATGCCGCTAGTTGCGGCGACGGTCAATAGATGGCGTCAGATTCTGACGTATATTTTGACGGGAGAGGCGACCATTGCTTCTATGGATATAAAATGTATTCTAGTTCAAATTATAAAAATGGCAAGAAGTTTTGAACAATAAAATTATATTTTTAATATATTATTATTTTAAAAATATAGATATTATGAATCATACAATTGTTTTGCCTTCTACATGCTTCGGACAAGCATTTTAAGGCATCACTCATGATTAGGTGTCTCCAAGCGCCCGCCGCGGTGGAGGGCCAAGGAGAGGGCTAAGAGGCGCTGGCAGAGCCGTGGGCACCCCGGGGGAGAGGAGGGCGAGTGCGCGCCGATTTTGAGGGAACCAAGGCAGCACCAAGCACAACTAAAGCGCCGCAGGCTTCAAAAATATTTAAGGGATCATTTCAGGGATCAAGATCAAGCGATCAAGACCCAGAGATCAGAAGGTCTGGCTTTTATCGTCTGGCTTTTATCCTTTAGATATTATGAATTGCTCTATATTCAGAATAAAATAATAATAACTACATAAGAGAATAGAAATGTTGATACAATTGGACATCTCCATGAGAGAACACTCCCGCTAGCGGGTACATCTATATAGATAGAAAGTTTTTATAAATAAAATTTCCGTTTTTACCTATTTGCTGCTCTCTGGTAAGAGGACACCTCTTTCTAAAAGACACTTTGGTTTTGCAATTAGGTGTTATCTTTTAGAGAAATACTCAACTATATAATGCTATATCATCCATTTTCAGACCAATACTTTACACATGGAGCCGAAATTTGGTTCAAATATTTAAATAAAAAATGTTCACAAAAATTAAATTCAACCCAATATCAAATACTAACATGGTGTATACAAGCCTATAAATCCACATCATATAGCTGTGTTCATAGTTTGGCCAACATTCCTCTGATCTCAGACTTTATCGAATCCAGAATCATGATATCTGATCTGAGAAACTTATCCACAGATATCAACAAATTTATAACCCATTTATTCCAGGAATTATAGATACCTTTCTCAAATCAAGAATGAATGTTCTGAAAAACGAAGCAAATAATACTTTCTTAAGCTTTTTTCCCCAAGAAATCCCTAAATACTTTCGCCCAAATTTTTATAATACTCAATTTGTTACAAACCACTGAAATTTCAAAAGTTTTTAAAATAGAATAAAGGCAGTGGAGGATTCAAGTTGCTTTTGTGGTATTGAGGAACAAACCTAAAGACATCTACTGATCGATTTCCCAGCATTTCAAGATTATAGAATGAAGAATGAACTAGTTGTTTGTGAAATTAACGATTTGATTTCCGATTTTAAAAAAATCATATTTAAAGTTCAATTCATTTTGTAAATACATTCTACACTTTCTACAAAATCTGGATCTCTGGTGTTTTCATGCGTTGAATAATGTAAATAACTTATGTAAATAAACTTTTCTCCTTGTTTGGCGCAAGTATCCCTTGCGGGATATAACGCTTTGGAAATAAAATAATTGAAATTCATGCACTTTATAAATTTAAGAGGGTAATATATTTAAAATATATTTTTTCATTCTCTTCTATGACATTTGAAAATTATCCAGCAATAGCCTCTAGTGGACATGGCATCTGCCCGGTAAGCGGAACATTGTGGGTTCGATTCCCATCTCTGGACACTTTATTTTTCCGTTTATCATTACTCTTCACAATTCATCCCTAAGGTTAGAAATAATCGTTATTTCTCCTTAAAAATAAATTTCGATTTTTTTGTTTAAAATAAACACATGCGGGATAATTTTCAAATGTCATTTCACAATCATAAGTTTCGTTAACTTACACTTGAATATAATCATTGTGTCCCAACATTACCTTCAAAAATGAGAAAATATCTACCAATCATCTATGAAAACGATTTTCAAAACAATCAACCTTCAAACTATCTATCTTAAAAACTCAGTAGGCCACTAAAAAAAACATTAATCAACTTCAAAAAAACGACCATAACAATAATTTTTCATTATCCCCCAAAAAAAAATCAATTTATCTTGAAAATTTCCTCTCACCTCCAGTTCTCGATTCTGGCCTGGTCAAGGATACAAGGTGAAGGTCAAGTTCACGCAGAAAAACCTTTCATATGAGAAAAGTTGTCCTTTCGCAATCGAAGTGGCTTTGAAAATGAAGATTTTTCCAGTTAATGCTGGGGGAGGGAGTGATTGCAGCCCCTGGGAGCAATGGGGGGTGAAAAAAGGGGGCCAAGGTTCTCTGTGGAATGCAGAGTCCCCCCCTCAGGGTATATGACTGGTTTGGAGAGCTAGCTTCCCACAGTCATCATGAAGACCACGCTACTGGTAAGACGCTCACTGCACCTTCAGAGAATAACTTTCTATACAACTATATGTTTCTTCTCTCAATATTTCTGAATATAGAGAAATCCATAATATATATATATATATATTAAAAATAAAGCTTTTATTTTGGATTTTAATAATAATTTTTATTGATCCAATATTTCGATGGACCAATCGTTCATCTTTTACGACCTGCTGTGTGCTTCAAAACAACAACAAAAAAAAAAACTCGTAAAAGATGGACGATTGGTCCATCGAAATTTTGGATTAATAAAAAATCCTATTAAAATCCAAAATAAGCTTTATTTTTAAAATATTATATTTGTACTAACGATTAATATTACAATATATAACTAAGATATATTCTAATTAATTTTAACACACTACAAATTATTTTTTAATTCTCTTTTTCATTTATATCGTCTGATTAAAAAAACATTTTTCTCATTCTCACTCTTAAACTTCTCGTTATTTCTTCTTCAAATTAAAGATACTTTGGCCAGTAAATATTTTTTATTGTCACGACGTTTCGACAATAAAAAAGATTTACTGACCGAAATATATTTAATTTGCATAACTATGAATTCCGACCAGGCAGCCTCTATCTTTACGATTCTCGTTATTTAATTCAATTAAATTATTTCGATATTTTGCACTTATTTATTATTTCAGATGAATTATTCCTAATATACTTGTGTTTGCCATATATAATTTATTGTTATAAATATCATAAGCTAGGTTGTTCTTTTTGAGCGGTACCTAGTAAAGTGATTTTGGAGCAAGGGTTTGGAACTGGTGTATGAGCCTCTTCAACCATTCTCGTCCAAGGTGATCAATCCATAGCCATAGTATCGCATAAAGATATTTTCTTAGTCCAGTTGGACTATTCATTGAGGATTTTCATGGGAAAATAATGCGGCCTTTTTCTCTTGCCGTCCACATCCATATGCTGTTGACCTAACAGTAATTTCATCCATCTTTAGAAACTGTTTGCATCTTTAAGAACAAGTGAGCTCCCTCTTCCATATCAGGATGTCGAATCACCGTTTGTATTCAGTGGTGGAATTTGACTTTTGTCATTTCAACTTTTCAAAATTATAATTGAAACATTTTTAGAGTTAAAATACGAGTATTTCTATTCATTTTTTTTTCAAAGAAAATCTATAATTTAAGATATTAGCGCTTCATTAGTAAGTATGAATTCAGGTAGTTTAGTTCCTTCTTTTCAAATAGAAACAATTTGTCTCAATAAATTTCATATGATTCTACTATCCACAAGGCCCCGTATCCATAGTTTGTTTAAACATATTCGTCAAGAAGTTCACAAAATTTCAGGAATATATAAGCAGCAAGAAATAGACCCATGGACAAAACTTAAGAAGTTGAACCTTTTAGCATGTATATCGGGATTCAGACAATAACTCTGAAACCCTTCCGTGGTTAGCTTTTCTTGATTAATCAAGAATAGGTATTTGGCTGATTCTGGAATAATTAAAAATCAACGAGAATAGTTGATATTTATTCCGATAGATGGTGCAAGCCATCAGCAACTTTCAGTTGCACGATAAGGAGATGCCTTTTCCATAATAACTCTGAAAGTTATTTGATACACAGTGACCTTTATTAAAGACACACGAGAAAACCAAATTTGAACAAAATTTTCTCTGTCTTCTTCTTCAAAAAAGCAGATGACCAGCGATATCAAAGACTTTCCACTTCCATAAGTTTTGTCCATTAGTTGTATAAGATATATGTTTATCGACACATAGTAATAATTTCTATGATATTTGATGATAATTCGATGGCAGAAGTGACACTCAAATCTGTTGAGGTGGGAAAGGACGCCGAGTCGTAGAAGAAGTAAATGTATTTGGAATGATAGGTAGGTACTGTGCTGGCCTTGTGTATAGGGGATTTTCTGGCCGTGAGGGATGACCTTGCCACTGGGGAGAGATGTGGGATAAAGACGTTTTCACAACGAATATCTTTTTATATGTGATTGTGAAATAGTTGCCAAGGATTTAAACGATATACATCAATCAAATAATTGCAAAAATTGTCTTTATTCAATAAAAATGGCAAGTTTTCAAGCGTTAGCTCATCATCAGGCCAATTGTTTCACAAATTCCTACAATATATATATAGAGGTGTAGTAGGTATTTTTACATATTTACACTTGAAAAAGGTTTAAAAAATTGAGAAATACTTTAAATAAATATATCCTAAATATTTTATAAATTTTATTCCGTCATAAGTAAATAAGTTTTAGGATATATTTATTTGAAGTATTTCTCAGAGAATTTTTTAAACCTTTTTCAAGTGTAAATATATAAATACCTCCTACACCTCTATATATATATTGTAGGAATTTGTGAAACAATTGGCCTGATGATGAGCTAACACTTGAAAGCTTGCCGTTTTTATTGAATAAAGAAACATTTTGCTTTTTTTTTTAATGATACACAATGACTTTTATTGAAGACACAAGAGATAACCAAATGTGAACAAAATTTCCTCTGTCTCCTTTAAAAAAAAAAGAAGAAGAAGACGACGGGAGACATCAAAATATGAAACTTCCTTTTGTCTATGAGTGTATATAATTTCATTACCTTTCACGATTTTACCTTAAATCATGTTGTGAGGGTATTTTCCATCTTGCACACCGAGACTGAACATGTTAGCAGAGTGTTGTATTACCACGCCATAAGAAATTTAAACTATTTTTGACGCGTATGATTCTTTTTTAAACATAAAACAATTATCTACTGCTCTTACTGCAGTGATAAAATAATGGTAAGGCCTGGCTCATCAGTGGTGAACCCTCCAAGCGGTTTCGCCAGTATAATTCACCATACCGCTGTGCTTTACAAGCTTGATACCTTAGTGTGATTGAGTGGAGATAAGAAAGAAGAAGAAGACCATACCGCTGTTATATTGCATTGGGCTGTTTTATTTTTATACTGATACTAAAGCTAAACTCTTGGAAAAGGTATAAACAATGGAGATAAACTTTGAGAGAGAGAGAAGACAGTATAAATACATGTAATTATTAATATATCTATAACATGCTTCGAGCAATGCTCTTCGCAAATTTCAAATAAAAGTATTTTTATTCTCTGCAATGAAACCAAGAATCTGTGACAATCATTTTCGCCGAGCTGCCTAGGCTATGGTGAATCAGGCCTATGACTGCCTCCTCAATCAGACCTTCCAACCCTATTTATCCATAGTCTTGAATCTGGCGGTAAGATTCTGCCTTGGTCTATTTGTTCCATTCATTGAGATTTTCTTAGGACAAATAATGCGGAGGTTTCATCTTGCTTTCCACACCCATATGTTGTTGACCTAATAGTAGGTTTTAATGAGACTGCAAGTATTTATTCTATGTAAATATTTTAATATTTTACATAGAGGACATGTTTCTTTAGACTGCTTAAAAAGAAAAAAGGTTTAGTATTAACATATACACAATGAATCTAAAATCTATATGCTGAGTATAGGGGTGGCGAGATTATCCTAAGATTAGATTTTTTTAATTTCATTGATAACTATCAATGATAAATCATAAAAATATATTCAAGAGATATATGTTAAGGGGGAAGTAAAGGACTATTTACAATTGCATACATTCGAGGAAGTTTACCCATCGCTGAGGAGTCATCCTCCAGATAATCTGAAGGTCTTCGTTATCTCCCTCACCTCACGACTCAGGAAGAACTTGTAAATGGAAGTCTTTGTTGACGAGAGAATGGAGTTAACGCCGTTTTCCATCCTATGTTCGAAGAGCCAATCCTGAAAGTATTTGAGAAGGTTGTGTAGTCACACTGTAAGAGAGATACCCCCCTGTTGCTGGAGCACACCTACTCGACCTCTAGGATAAATTTAGAATTGTTGTTAGTACACATTACTTCATTGTTAGTATCTTTTTATTGATTAATACATCACAACATGGCGTTCTTCTACTGGCTACAAGGGAAAAACGTCAACTCGACCTCTAGGATAAATTTACAATTGTTGCTAGCACACATTACTTCATTGTTAGTGTCTTTTTATTGATTAATACATCACAACATGGCGTTCTTCTACTGGCTACAAGGGAAAAACACCAACTCGACCTCTAGGATAAATTTATAATTGTTGTTAATACACATTACCTCATTGTTAGTATCTTTCTATTGGTAGATACATCACAACATGGCGTTCTTCTACTGGCTAAAAGGGAAAAACGTCAACTCGACCTCTAGGATAAATTTAGAATTGTTGTTAATACACATTACCTCATTGTTAGTATCTTTCTATTGGTAGATACATCACAACATGGCGTTCT